AGCCTCTCGACAATATGCGTTTTTGCTGGCTGTAGCAGCGTTATAGGGCGTTTTTGGTGTGCAGCGCTGCACACAAGAAACGCATAAAAATGTATACTGTCGAGCCCTCCATGCTTGTGCGTGTGTGTGTGTGTCGGTAGCGAGTGATTTTTGTCACCCATTTACAACACAATAACCAGGAAAGCTGCTAGGGTTTTCACGTTCCTCATGGAAAACGCGGGCATACATGAATTTAGAATTTTCGAAGTCGCACATGGATGTGAAGCATCCGCCTAAAATTTCAGATTTCTGTCTTATCTAGTTGGAGAAGATGCCAACAGTTTCCCGCCAAACTTTTATTCGTACGTGAGGTGCAGCGGTACAGGAAGGCTGAATTTAAATTTGCTGAGTCTCCAAAAATCTCATCCTCCTAGTTAAAAATCTCAGATAAAAATTCGAACATACGCACACAGTTTCGGCAGTATGCGTTGTGTACCAGACATAGTCTCCGACTCGTCAAGCTTCACAGTTCTACTCTTGGAGAACAGCAGGATCAGAGAGACGCTATGATGCACACGTGCACTTTCGCGGCCCAGGGAAGCTTCTCACTGGTGCATGCAGAAGCGCATAAAAATCAACAAAATGAGTGTGCAAGTAGCTGGCAGTTACAGCAACGGGAAACCGAATACCGCGCCGAAATGAGAAAAAAGCACCAGAGATGAGAAGTTCTGGGCCCCACGGACCCTAGCATGCTACGCGGGCCAGGGACGCGCAACCAGGGCACCACAGCAGCGAAACGCCAATCGCAATCCATTCACCCACCATTACACCCCTGCACCGTGTCCCCTGCACGCACACAGTGCTTACCTACCGTGTCCGCCAAGCAAACTGTCCTTCCTGCAAGCTGTCGCTGTTGCTGTTGGTGCGCTGCAAAGCGGAGGGAGGGACGCAGCGCACATGCTGAGGACAGAGCACCGAACGGAAGGGGATGCCAGCGAGGAGTGGGAGGCACGAAGAAAGAGAGAGAGAGAGCGAAAAGAAGTTCACAAGTGCATGCATCAGGGACGAGTAGCGGTCACACACGTAGTGGACCAGTGCTGGGTCGAGCGAAAATGAGGTCAATGGCGACAATGAACGAGTGCGCGATAGATGAGGGGCGTGCGGTCTCGATTGCTCAGTGCGCTGCTGCTGCTGGTCGGTCCCCAACTGCCCTCGCGCTGGAAGAGCGGAGGTTGCTCTGCCAGTGGGGGAGCATCGCCAGTCGAGCACTTCTTCTTGTGCTTCTTCGAGGTGATTCGGCTGCATTGCGCCCTGGTGTGCAGGGAGTGGCGTGGAGCTTGATGGCAGGCCACTCGTTCCCCCGAGCTCCATCAGCTCTCTTCTGAGCGCCCATCGATGGAGTTCGACTTGCGCGGACTGCTGCATCTTTGCTGCTTCGGACCAGCCTCTACCGTACTCACCAGTCGCTTTCACTCATCCACTTACAGTACGAGCAATCAACTGCTGTATTCCGCTGTCGATGAGATTCCTCTGCATTTATGTTCCGTGCTTACACCCTTCCGTGTGAGGAGCACCGCACAAAGCCAGTGATTTTCGAATGGCGGCGGGGGAGACGATCAGCTGCCGCCTCCTGTACGGTCACAAGTTTGCCTAGTCGTTGCAGCAGTTCGGCCTGACCCACTGCTACTTCGGGCGTTCTCAGTCCGTAGACGAAAAAGTGGGGAGCATGGTCAGGTACTGCCAGCGAATGCAGCAGCGTCCACCAGTGAGCAAACCAAAGCAGAATTTTGAGTTTTTTGACTGCACTTCTTTCTGACATGTAGCTGCCTGGATAAGCATATATATAAATATACATATGTGTGTATGTGTACGTATACCCGCACCGATGCCGATGTTTCTTCGCATAACAAAAAGCAGCAAAATACAAAGCACAATCGGTGAATGAACCCTTCACGAGACTGAGAGGAAGCAAGCGGCTGAAGAACGACAGCAGCAGCAGCATGAGCACAGTGCAAGCATTCACCACGTAGCTGTTCACAAAGCGGCGCATACAGCAGGAAGTTAATCACCGCAACACAATTCCCTTTCCTGGATGATGATTAACGGGAAAGCGCATGCAAAAATTTCTCCAGTTCCGGCATTCTGCGTCTGAAAGTTCGAGTGGGAGAAAAACTAAAGTGTTTGAAGCAACTCAATGGCTTGAACGTGTCGAATTTATAAAAAGCATTGCAAAACGTCTTCCGGAAATCCAAAAGCTTCACCAGATACCCAATTAGAAACCTTCAGAAAAGGCTGAGAAGACTGCCGAAATCTTTCTAATCCAGCATCTCCTCTCCAAAAATTAATATTCTCGAAAATTATGATACTGAGAAAGCTGTACCGCGGTAGCCCTTCTTCGGAGATTCGTCACGCTAAGAATATCCCGCATGAGATAAAGAAGATGAAGATCCTCTGAAAAATTATAAAAGGGGAAGAAAAAAAAGAAAAACGAATCCTTAGAAGCGCATTTGCTCGGAAAGAAGCACCACTTCAGAAAGTAAAAGGATCGCCACAAAATAAGCTGCCCAGCTGATGTTACTGAAGAAGTACGATACATGCCAGAACGAAATGGAAGTGAAATCCTCTTATTTTAAATGTTTTCCTCCTTCAATCATCTACTTGCTATTAATCAAAATAAACACTGACAGCAGTGGACAATAAGCATACACGAAGACAAAAAAATAGAAAAATTACTACATACAAATAAGCGAACTTGGCTTACATATGTTGCAAAAAAGTAAAAATAGTAAGAGGCAAGCAGTCAACGTAAGCTACACTCAAGAAAGAGCTGGAATGTGACAGATAACAGGAATGCACTACCTACAGAGCAAGCTACCGGATGCCCGAAAAGCAGCAATTCTTACAACTTTCAACAGAAACAACCAGCCCGACAAAACGCTTCTACTGCATTCACAGAAATGTGGCTACACGTGTGCTCCCGTCGGACAGCGGGCATCATACTCACCCAGAAAGGAAGAAACAAACCTCGTACACGAATTCCCTAAAACTCGAAAAAGCACAGAAGTGTTACAGCTAGTCAAAATTACTGAACAGCAAATATTGCTTCGTAGGGAAAACTTTACATATACAAAGAGAAAGCACATGAGCTCTGCAAAAAGTATTCATCATGCTTGTGAGATCAGGAAGACCGGGACGAAGCAGCACGCGCCATATCAAGTTGAGAAAGTTGATTTTGCAGGAATTCAATGCGACCATCCTTCCAGCGTATCTCGAACCGTAAACTATCGATATCCTGCTGAAACAAGCTGAAATATCCCAGAGGATTTTAGCTTGACGTGGTGGCATGCTTAATGTAGTTTCCAGCAATGTCAGTCCACCGAGAGTATGCTTGGTTTCCGACTGCGACTTTCCAGAACAGCATGCGCCTGACAATGAAGAGCAAATGTGATCCGACCATTCACTCCTGCTCCCATTCACTACGAGTAAAAAGCCCCCATTTTGTCAACTGAGCAATCGCCCGACACAAGATCCTACTGCATAGAAAAATGTGCGGTAGTGGGAAGAATCCAGTAAAAAGGCACCATGGGGCATGAGATGCGTTCAGTGAAATGGACTCAAAGTGCAGGAGGGAATGCCGTCGGCCAGTATCAGCTCGCACTCCGGGAAAGGGACAATGGCCTTCCGCGCTCACTCCGAAAAGAGCACACGAACTAAAGACGAAAAATTTCTTGATACATTTTTTCCCAACGCAAAAATGAAACGTGATGTTGGCTGAGTGTAGCCACGAAAACGAAACGATTCACCTTAGACAGTCATACACCGATTGCGATATGCCAGGGCTCTCGTATTCCGCCTCTATCTCCGGAAAGCACTCAAAAAACTCATGTTCTCCCTGTGCGCTCTACCCACTGATAAGTCAGCATATAGTCAAACTCATTATTCATAAAAAAATGCCATGAAACAAAACGATTTTTACTTATTAGTTCACTTCTCTTGATCCGCAATTAACCGGACTGTAGTACTCCTAATCTAAGCGACTCAGTATTGAAAGTGCAAGAAGCCCAGTTTTCTTTTGGACCTGGCAGAAGAGTGAAAAGGGAGGAAAACAATAAGTGATAAATTTGGAATGGAATATAAGATACGTAACAGGCAAGGAGATTTCTAGAAAAAGTCCCCTGACGAAATAATAAGCTGTTGAGAGCGCTGCGAAGTGAATAAAGGCAGCAAATTCAGCTGACATACAATGCAAGACCTCTAGCTTGAGCTTAGTAACTGGCAAATCTTCTGAACGAATCTTGTCGAACTGAGAAATAAAACTGCGGTAAGGCAAACAGATTTTTTCAGTTTTTATCTGAAGTTACGTCGGACCTGCTGCTTCTTCACCACCGTTGACAGTTCGTCGCAGCGTTTGTAACTTTTCAGTAACTTCCTCAACATCTCAAAAGAAAAAAAAATTTTAGCATTTGTAAAGGGAATTCATTGACCACCAGCCACCAAGCTACTGGTGCCACCACTGTTGATGCTACTGGCACCACTGCTACTATTATTACTACTACTGCTGCCGCTGCTGTACTGCTACTACTACAAAGTGCTTCGGCGTGATTCCGCTTCTTAGATGAGACTTGATTTTAGCTTCACCTCCTTCCGGTCCGTCCGTTCTTTATCGGCCAGTGAAAAACAGGGCGGGAAAACGTAACGAAGGCCAGAATTTGCCAGCCATCAGCCAAAGCTGCTATTGATGAAACAAGACACACCGCAAATTTTGTCCGTTCCGATAGTCTTTTGAAAAAATTATACTTTCCTTCAACAGTTAAGCAGTTGAAAAATTCCAGTAGAAGCACTACTGATACAGTCTCTTGAACGGTTAATTTTGCGAAAGCTACACCACTGCCCTGTAGATGGTGATCCTTGCGCTTGATTTTCTGCCTTTTTTTCGTCGTTCTTCCAGAGGAAAATGCTACATGTACCAAGAATTTTGGCACTCGAAAAAGCCGACTGAGAAAAATATAGGCAAGCAGAGAGATCGATCTCCGGGAGAAAGAAAAAGCGT